GGGGTGACACGACACCCCGGGGGTACCCCCCCCGCCCCCCCTATCACAGCGAGACAAAACGGGGCGCTGCCCTGTAGGGCCCAGCCGCAACAGTTTATTGGCAGCCCCGGTACAAAGAGCTTGGGAGGACACGCGAGCGGGGAAACGGCGATGCAAACCCAGGGGCCCTGCAGCCACCTCCGGGATGCCAAGGTCCCTCCGTCTCCCCCGGGAGGCCTTGGGGCCAGGCCGCGGCATCTGGTGAGAGCCTAAGGGGCCGCAGTCAGCGCCGGAGGGCCTGCCTGTGACCGCCCGGATGCACAGTGCGGAAGCCGAGCAGGCCAGCGCTTCTCCCGGCACCGGACTGTCCCGGCTCTGCCCTGCACAGTGACTCCTCACGCCGGATTTGCTCCCGTGGCTGCGACTCTTTGCTCACATAAAACCAAAGTCTGGTTCCAGCTGCAGCGGCGGCAGAGAAAAAGCTTTAAAAACATGAAGCCCAAACGCCGGACGCAGCAGCCCCAGAGCCGCGCCAAGCAGCCTCGCTCGCAGGACCCAGCTCTCCAGATACTCAGCTCAGCTTGTGCAGTTCACCACTTTTGTGCAAGTTACCTGGAAAAAGCTAATAAATAACAGCCGGGTGCTAGGCAAGGGTGCTGCAGGCGTCACCACAGGAGAGGGGCAAGCCAGGACGAAACACAAGAGGCTGGCAAAGGGGAGCGGGGCTGCGATCACTCACCCAACACGGGCTTCAGAATGGAAACACTGTATTGACAGACTTTACAAAAGTTATTACAAAACACAATCACGAACCAGCAGCCGACGATACACAGCGGAAGAGACACCACTTACAGCCACCTCAGGAACAACACCAATTAGCTCCGAGAAGTCAACCAATATTTACACAGACGTCTGAAAAATCTCCAGTCAGTTATCTCATACATTTAAGTGTTTTAGATCAACTGTGAAATATAGTGCCACACATTTCCTTGTAGTATAATAATTATAATAATAATAATAATAATAATAATTAATAATTAATAATATACTACTTCTAGATTAACTAAAAACCAAACAGCTCTTTACAGGGGTTAGGAGAAGTTGCTTTCACTCATCTGACTTACCTGAGTGTGAGACCAAACCCAGTTAAAAAATAATAATAAAATCGCCTTCATTGACAGGAGTTTGTGTGACAGACCAGCGGCTCCGTTCCCTTGGGCCAGAGGGAAACTACAGCCCGCCTGGTACCTGCAACATCCTTCGACACAGCAGAGATCCTACTCGGGTGAGTCACCCAACCACGCCTCCACATGCTGCCCTTCCTGACTCCTCCTGCTCCAATATCCTCAGTCCTCCTCCTGCACATCCTTGCCTCCTGCACCTACTTTTTCTCACCTTTGCTGCTCTCTCCTCTCCACTTTTTTATTTTTCCTTCGACAAATCCCATGTCGTGCCCCCAACCACGTCTCAGCCTCACTTCTCTTCCCTTCATCCCAGCCCTGGCCTTGCAGTGCGGGGTGTGGCAACGCAACAGGAGCGGGGGGCCAGTTGCCCGGGAATGGCATCTTCCTTCCTTCCTTCCCTCCCTCCCTCCCTCCTCGCGCTTCCAGCCTTTCGGTGAAACAAGTGGAAAAAAAGAAAGCGAAAGCTTGTCACTCCTGAATATGCACAAAGATAGGTGGGGAAACACCTGTTAAATAGGGACCCCGGAGAATCGCTCAGGATTGTTCTCCACAGGCAAAATCCAAACCTGCGTAGGGGACAACTAGTACAAGTCCCACGTAACCCCACGGGGTCGAAGAGGTGCCTAGGCCGTCCGATCAGAGTTTTTAAGAGGAATTCCTTGGATGCTTCAAGAAAGTGGGCTTCGTTGCATGACCACATGGATTAGCTGCAATACAAGTTCACCTCCCACCACGCTGCACGTCCACCTGCTAGAGCGTTAGCGTAACTGTGAGCCCTTCTGCCCCGGCCTCCCTCCCCACGCAGTGCTACTGCTTAGTTTCTTTTTTCACACAGAAATGGCTGGTTTGAGTGGCCGACTCCAGGTTGTGCTGCGAATCCTCCATGGGCCGGGGGTTGCGGGAGTGGATTTTCTGGTGGCAATTCAGAGATTCTTTGTAGCGGAAGTGCTTCCCGCAGACGGGACACTGGTAGGGAGTCTCCCCGGTGTGGACCCGCCAGTGCTTGAGCAGGTGGTCCCGCCGGATGAAGCTCTTCCCGCACTCGGTGCACTGGTAGGGCCTCTCCCCGGTGTGGATGCGCTGATGGCGGATGGCTTTGGAGAGGTCTCGGAAGTCCTTCCCGCAGTAGGTGCACGTCAGCGGCCCGTCACCCTTCCCTGTATGGAGCTTCTGGTGCAAGATGAGGCTCACTTCCAGGCTGAAGCTCTCCTTGCACTGGGAGCACGTGTAGGGTCTCTCCACCATGTTGTTCACCTGGTGCCTGACAAAGCCATACTTGAAACTGGGGCTCTTCTCCCCGTCGGGCCGCTTGGACGGTTTGGAACGGGAAGACCCTTGGCCTTTTGGAGGCGTCGTTTTGGATTTCTGCCGGAAGCTCTCTGCCTGCTCCAGGGAAGTGCAGGCTTCCTCGCTGGCATGTGCCTTCTGATGGGCGGCAAAGAGCTCCTTGTCGAGGAAGCTCTCCCCGCACTCGCAGCAGATGTAGGGCCCCTCCACCGCAGCTGCATCCTCGGGGGCGTCTTTCTTGGCCAAGTCTCTCCCACGGCGAGCAGAACGCCTCAGCCCATTGCCCGTTGAGGTTCTCTGCTGTGGGGTTGACCCGCCCCGGCTCTTGCCGCTCGGCTTCATCTCTTCCTCTGGGCTTGAGAAAACCTCCTCCCACTTTCCTGTCAAGGAGCTAGGAAGCTCAAGGCTTTCGGAACCTTCCTCATCACACTGCTGTTCATCTGGCAGAGCAGAGATATTCATGTCATTTCTCTGAGACAAGAACTGCTGCCTCGTTATCGTTAGACCGCAACTCTCTCGGGGCAGAGGTGGGCTCTGCTCTGCGTGCTCAGGGCAACACTCAGCACTGTGGGCTTGCAAGTCCCACCTGGGAGCTACCGAAGCCAAAGCATTTCATCTTGGAACCATAGAATCATTGAGGCTGGCAAAGACCCTTAAGATCGAGACCAACCCTTAATCCAACACTGGCAAGGCCACCACTAAACCGTGTCCCTCAGTGCCACACCTACATGTCCTTTAAACCCCTCCAGGGATGGGGACTCCCCCCCTGCCCTGGGCAGCCCATTCCAACGCCCAACAGCCCCTTCTGCAAAGAAATCCTTCCTCAGAGCCAGCCTGACCCTGCCCTGGCACAGCTTGAGGCCATTCCCTCTGGGCCTGGCGCTGGGTCCTTGGCTCAAGAGACTCATCCCCCCTCTCTGCATCCTCCTCTCAGGGAGTTGCAGAGGGCCAGGAGGTCTCCCCTCAGCCTCCTCTTCTCCAGACTGAACCCCCCCAGTTCCCCCAGCCGCTCCCCATCAGACCTGTGCTCCAGACCCTGCACCAGCTCCGTTGCCCTTCTCTGGACACGCTCGAGGCATTCAATGGCCTTTTTGGGGTGAGGGGCCCAACACTGAACCCACTCATCGAGGGGCGGCCTCACCAGTGCCGAGCACAGGGCTCAGATCCCTTCCCTGTCCCTGCTGGCCATGCTGGTGCTAATACAAGCCAGGATGCCACTGGCCTTCTTGGCCCCCTGGGCACGCTGCCAGTTCATATTCAGCCAACTATGGACTAACCTCTCCAGGTCCTTTTCCACTGAGCAGCTTTCCAGACACTCTGCCCTAAGGTCCTTGGTGTTGCGTGGGGATGTTGTGACCCAAGACCAGGACCCAGCACTGAGCCTTGTTGAACCTCATACCATTGGCCTCAGCCCCTTGCTCCAGCCTGTCCAGGTCTCTCTGCAGAGCCTCCCTACCCTCGAGCAGATCAACACTCCCACCCAACTGGGTGTCATCTGCAAACTGACTGAGAGTGCACTCGATCCCCTCATCTAGATCACTGGTAAAGGCTGCATGGGAAAGCTCAGACAGTACAATGATGAGATCTCTATGGGGAAGTGGGTTCCTCAGCAGCAGGTGAAGCAGAGCAGGTCTTTGAGAACACGTGGCTTAGGAGAAAGATGAAAAAAAATTCAAGGAAAGGGCATAGAACCTCTTTTCCTTCTGGGCTTGCACAGTGCCTGGGGCCAAAGGATCTCCCATGGTATAAACAGTAACTCACAGCAACCACCAAGGGCCCTGGCAAAGAGAGGCTAATAAGAGGATTTGGGCAAGAGGGCTGAAAATCCCACAGCTTTCCGCAGAGCGTGAGAAGGTGAAGCTGTGCCACGCATTTGTGCGCCCAGAGGAGATGGCACTGCACTCCCTACCACAGGGCTCTTCAGTTTGCCGGACACCCAAACGCGCGGCTTGAAAATGGGCCGCTTTGTTTGCATCGGGCTGAAATTCTGGAAAAGCATCAGCCAGAACAGCTGAGCTGCTTCCGAGCACAAGGCCGGGAAGCCAAAGGCACAACCTGGCACAGGACGCTCCCAAAGTGGCTCCTTTGGAGCGGGGACCGGGAGCAATGGGGCAGTGACAAGGACACGCCTTTTGCTGCGCCACAAGAAGCCTGACGTTTGCCTGACAGAGAAAGCTGTGAAAAATATCACTTCACTTATTTGTGAAAAAGGCTTTTAAGAACTTTGTTGCTATCACCATTGAAGCTCGCCTGCGCTATGTTTGCTCCTGCTCATCTCCATGTACAGGCTGACCAAACGCGCTGCCTTGCTGAGCGATGCGGCACCGTACAGGCAACCTGCAGCCCCCAGCCAGCCCGCAGCTGCTTTTACAGCTCGTGTGCAGCAGCTCATCTGCCTCGGCTACCGTCCAGCTCCCACGTTGGCGCTTGAGGCAAGCCTGGCAGAGCACGGCAAAGGCAGGATCTCCTCGCTCCCAGCAAGCGCCGAGAGCCCGAGCCCACTGTTACCTTGCCCCTGGCGAAGCTCCGCGCTTTAACTCACATGTACTAGGGACCTCCATGCCCTCCTCTTCGTCAGAGCCCTCGTGGCTTTCAGCCAGAGTCTCTTCGTATTTACTCCACGAGCTGTCGTCAGGACCAAGAAATGAAAACTCTGTGCACAGGAGAAAGAACGACAGGAGCTGAGGCTCACACCCCGCAGCTGCTTGGCAGAGGATTTCAGAAGAGATGACTGCATCGGGCAAGGGCCGACTCAGAAAGCAGAGTCACCCCTGTACCCACAGACAGAGGTGTCAAAACTCAATGGCAGAGGGAGCGGAAGAGCGCGGGCAGGTGGCGGTACCACCTGTCTGCTTCCCACTTTCCCACCAAGTCCCGGGAGGGCAGCGCTGTGGCTCACCAGTGCTGGGGTCCGTAGGGGTTTCTCCTCCCTCAGAGTCCTCCTGGTCCTCTGCGTTGGGATCCTCTCCTTGCTCGATGCGTGACAGGAGGTCGGGCTTCGAAATGGCAGCATCTGCACGTAAAGAAGAGGATGGGAACGTTTCCTTCGCCCTCGTGGGTGAGAGACTCTCAAACCTTTGCCCACCAACCTTCCTTCGCTGCTGGGGGATGACGGGTGACGGAAAGAGAGGCTTAAGATGCTCTCACACATCTGCAGCGCTCACCTTGTCTGGGCCCTGGGGACATGAGCGGACTGCAGGAGCACACTCTGCTCAGGTGAGGAGCACCTCCCAGCCTGCAGCGTGAGGAGGAGAATAAGAAAATGCATCTGTGCTTACCTCCGGGCTTCCTTTCTTCTCCTCTCTGCTAAGGTCCGCGGATCCATTACAATGGGGACTTCAGCTCGGGGACAGCACCAGGGCTGTCAGCCAGCGGCAGCAGGGGGAGTGCCCTCCCCATGCCGTTCCCTCCAGCCAGGACCGCTCCGTCCTACTCGTCCGAGTCACGGGCTGCTTGCGGATTTTGGTGGGGGAAAGGGGACAATCACAATCTCTCCTAGGGCGGAGAGGGGAAAACTTCATTTCCAAACATGTGTGAGTCTCTGGGTATTCACTTCCACCGCTGCTCTGGTGGATTCGTTTGCCTGATACGAGGGCTGAACCCCTAAACCTTATTACTCAAAGGAAACCTTCAGATGAAGCACAGATACATTTTTCTAAGCTCCAGGCTCAGATCCACAGATCCCCTTCAGCAGGACTCGGAAGTCCCTGTGCCTCTAGAGGACACAGGATTGGTTTTTAAACAGAACAGGGGGCAGTATTTATCCTTCACCTTTTTCCCCTCACACACTGCGACTGCAGAAAACCTCTGTTCCGAAATAAATAAATAAATAAATAAATAAAGATTAAAAAAAAGGACAAAAGGCTCCGATCACCCAGAGTTTGAGGGCAGGTGAGCCTGCACATCAGCAGCCTCTGCACGGGGAGGAGACACCGGTCTACCAGGGAGCGTGTCTGCGCTCCTGCCCCCAGCACACGGGCGACCAGCAGAGGCGAGGTCGTTCCTCAAAACACACGCAGATGCTGGTGCTGGTGAAGGCGACGTGTCCCCCAGGGCTGGGACCGGAAAGAATGAGCAGAGCACATTCGTTTAGCCGTGAAGGCGCTGCCCTGAGGCGCTGGAGGGGAACTCAGAAGGCAGAGTTTGCCTTTCCCCCCGGCACTACAGGAGCAGATACTGCAACGGCTTGTGCATGAAACGTTCCCTGGGTCAGAGAGAGGACCAAGCCGACAAACCTCGCTCTCCTCCCTCATGCAGGGCTCTGCAGAGGAAGGACTGATCGCCCACAGAAAGGGCTAGAAGGAACCTCAGGGGCAGGGCACCCCTCTGCTGCCCTAAGCGGCGAGTGTGCTGACGCACCCAGCGCAGTGGATCTGTGGACCTTTGCGTGACAAAAAATCCCCTCTTCCCCGTCTTCCCTCAGCTCGAGGCTCCTCTCGCTTCCCCTCTTCCTCAACTAATTGCTGGGGCTGCTGGTGAAAGCGCTCCCAGACAAGCACACCGTCCACCCTCCCTGATCCCACCAGGCACAGTGGTGCTTCCAGCTGCCAGGCCCCAGGAAAACCTGGCCTGTCAGAAAGGCTCAGGGCAAACCCCAGCTCGTCTTTACCCATCGAGATGACGGCCTCGTAGTTGCCTTTCATGATGTGCCTGTAAAGCTCCTTCTGCCACTCGTTCAAGCTCTTCCACTCCTCCTCAGAGAAGTTAAACGATGCATCGTTGAATGCCACAGGGACCTGCGATTGGAAGCATCGTGTATGCTCAAGGCGTTCTGCCTTTTGCTGAAGAAAACACCCGGGGATGTTTTCCCGTTCAAACTCCACAAAGACTGTCCCCATCTGCTCCTCCCCCCCGTGCCTGGCTCAGGCAGCTTCACCCCTGCCCGCAGGGACATGAAGGACTTCTCCCTCATCCCCTGCTCATCCTCCTTGCGCTGTAGGCGACGTCATGCGCACAGCGTCCAACACGGACTCTCTTCCCGCTTAACATTTTTGATGCAATTCTGCCCCCGGTTGCCTCTGCGGAGGCACTGGGGGGTGTTCCCAAACCCGCCAGGCACGCAGGGCTGAGCCACAGAATTCTGCCATGGCTCAAAACACGGCTCCAGCCATGCTGCGGAGTTTATGAGCACACAGAGAAGCGGCCGAGGCGCTCTGGCGAGGGTCCCACCTCTATAACGAGTGGCATGTAATTAACACAAAGGGACCTGCGCCGGTGCTTCGCGAGGAGCACTAAAGGAAAGGCACCGCCGCAGAGAAGCTGCTGCCCCGAAACGGGGCTGCAAGCGCAGAGCACATGTAGAACAACCCGGTTTCGAGAAGAGAGAAGAGAGAGCAGAGAACCGTTACCTTGGGGACTTCCCCCTTCGCCCCGGGGGGCAGGCGCAGGATCCAGAAGTTCCTGTTCTTCAGGAGGTTCTCCATGTTCTCCAGCCTCTTCTGCAGCTGCCCGTACTCCTGGATGAGGGTGCCCAGCGCGGTCCACTTGCTCTCCAGCTGGTTCCCGAACTCCACCGCCGTCTTCTCACAACCGATCAGCTTGGTTTCCGCCATCCTCATCCTCCCTTCTAGGTTCATCAGCTGGGCGGCCTGGGCGTCCACTTTCCTATCCACGGCCTGGATCTCGGTGACCAGCGTCAGGGAGATCTCGGCGGCCGGTAGCTCGGCCTCCCCGGCGGGGCCCTGCTCGGCGGCGGGCAGCGGCTGCTCCAGAGCCAGCTCCTGGGATTCCATGTCCCACTCCAGCTCCTGCGGGAGCACAGACATGGCCGTGGGCTCCGCCTATCGAACCAGCCGGCGATCCCGGCCGCGAAGTGAACGGGACGAGCCCTCACCGTTGAGCAGAGCCCT